CTCTCTCTCTGTCTCTCTCTCTCTCTGTCTCTCTCTCTCTCTCTCTCTCTCTCTCTCTCTCTCTCTCTCTGTGTTCTTTTGGTGATTTTTAGAATTTACAATTTGAGTTTCGATGAGATATTTTGAGCTCAAAGCGAAAATAGCCAGGAGTACCTGCCCAAAGTTCCAAGGTTTGCTGGAGATCTGTTTTTTACTACCGGAGTAGATCTTGCCGGTCTCGTTGAGCACGTATTCCTGTAAGAGATTCTCGTCGTCCAGAAACACAGCGTCATCTGACGTGTAGGGGAAAAAACCAGCACACAATGTTTGATTAAACAGGTTCTTTTGTTTTTGCTCATGTGTTAATGAAGGATGAAAGGCTACTATCGGCGCTACGCCAACTTCATGCTGGACTGCTGTGTGAATGATCTTTGGTTCGAATCCGTAACCGGGCATACTTAGGCCCTTTTAGATGGGGCGGTTGGGGGGGGGGGGTTAAAACAATATGTCGTCACGATTCTGGCACGTTTTCTGACACTTCAGTAACCTTACCGAGTGGAAATGGAAGTCAAGTACTTGTTTATAGCACGTCTTGACTCATGAGGGATAGCGGCCCAGTAGGAGAAAAAAAAAACTTCTTTCACCTGCGCGAGCACCTAACTCTGTGGTTACAGTACCAAGAAAAATGGAAAGCAGAAGAAAAGAAGTTACACGAAGGTAAAAACGACACGTGTATTACTACGTGTAATGACGTGTCGGCGGCAATCTGGTTACCTATTCTAGGCCCAGAAATCGAAACGTTTCAGGAGAAAGAAAGAAAACTGGTCTCATTTTTAAAGGGCATCTGCAGTATCATTTTTGTTATTTGCAGCATTTGGAGTTTGAATTTCGACAAGATACTTTTAGCACATGCAAGCAATGTAAAAGATTAAGAAACTGTAGTTTAACAAAAATGTTAAAGTTCTAAACTTTGGGTTTGTTCATCTGAACAGCTAGCTGACGTTATGCATAATCTATAGGTGCTATTCTACAATCCTTTTAAGGAGATTATAACTCCTGCTGGTGAGCAGTGTGTCTATTTGTTTTAAACAATCGTTCTTGTGTTCACTAGAGCCACTCACCTCTGCACCACGGGTTGAAGATAATGTAGATGGGGTCCTCGTGCTCGTAGCGATAGACAGCCACATCGTTGTTGTCTTTCTTGACCACGTCCAACTTGAGGTCCCACTTGCCCACATAACAGGTGGGTGGGACGAACACAGTCACTGTCAGCATATTGTCCTGGGGTGAATAAAAATTTCTCAGTTCCCAATCGTGGTCGAAACTATTTGATTTGTAATTGTAATTGTAAGGTACGTCATATTGTACCCCCCCCCCCCACAAAAAAATTTAAAAAATTGATTAAATCGATACAATTCAACAATATAGGAATCAATCTGCTTCCACAGCCTGTCTGTCAAGGTCAACCCAAGCTAAAAGCGATACAACATCCCAGCAGGCAGATTGAGATATGCTACTCAATTTATACCCCCCCCCCCCAAAAAAAAAAAACCCCAAAAAAAAAAAAAAAAAAAAAAAACCAACAACAACAACAACAACAAAATACAAAAAATACAAACAAAAAAAACTATCGGGAATCTAATTCTGGTTTTCTGCTTGCATTTACCTCAGAGAAAAGTTATTTTATTTGTAATAGGTTTTGTTTCGTGCGTCTAACTTTTTCATTTGACATTACCTTTTCCTTTCTCTTGAATCGTTGGTTTTAGATGTAACGGGATTGTGCAATGTTTGGTTGAGAGCTAGTTCGAAGATGTCATCAATAATGTATTTATAGAGGCACCAGCCATCCATGTTTAAGTGATGTTTTATCCAGTTGGGTCTGTTGTGATAAGTGTGTATTTTTCATTTGGAGGACCTCTTTGAAGACATTCAGCTATTTTTTCTTCTGAACACAAATAGATTGTTTCAATAACAGGCTCAACATTGAGAGGTGGGGAGTAGGGTGGTATTTTCTGTTGTTCCTGTAAGCGAAGCATTGGTGACTCTCCTCTCATGGTCATATAATTATAATGAATTGCACTTAAAGTCGAAAAGCATAAACCGTATATCTTAATTGCTTCTTGCGTCTCGGCAGACAATCTTATTGCAGTGTGCAGGATACCGTTTTTCTTGGAAGGTGAACATGGAGGAACTAGATTGCTGAAGTACCACTTTTCTCCCTTCATATCTTGATTTCTTTAGAGGATCCAAAGGAGAGTAATAGTCAATACTTTTAACATCAAGGAAGTTTTAAGGGTGTGTCTTACTATTCACCAAGAGTGAAAGGAATATTCTTTTTAATTAAGTAAGGAGATTTTGATATTTCCATTGTTCCCTGGTGGCGACGGAACGGCCTACTCTTCTGCGGTTTTCAACATTTTTAGTCATCTGAGTAATACAAAATAGTCTCATTCTAAACCACAAACACAAATACTTCAAGGAACAAACACCCCTCCCCCTTTCGACCCCCTGAGTCGAAAAAAATGTATAATAACAAGAGGAATTCTTGTTTATGGACGGGATGCATAAGATTTCGCGAAACGTTGATTTCAAAGCTGAAATTCTTTTATGACACCTTTTACCAGTGACATTTCTAAGAAATAGTGTGCATTTATACGCTTGCCTTTCTGGCATAGAATGTGCTCTGTGATCCAACATGACACATCTGGATACCTGGGGGCGTCATCTCAGGCGTATAGGGATTGACGTAAATGACCTGCCCTTGCTTACCGTCTCCAACTGCCGCAATGCACTCTATCATATTTTGGCAGGACCATGCCCTCATGTCAAGGTCTATATAATAATTATGGCATATAGGCTACCAAGGAATAATATAAATATCCGCTCTCGTCACACATGACTTTTCCCCCTTTTTTTCCTCCTGATGAAACTTCTTGTAAGCAATTAAGCCGACAAAGGCACGTAACAGTGTCTTAACTAACCTGTTGTCTCAGGATCTTAGCACCCCATTCCCTGGGCTTGTCCACATCAGAAAGGATGAACTGCACGTCGGTTCCTTTGGCAGGGGAGGGGTTGTCACCTGAGAGAGTTTTGGGAAGGAATCGTTACTATACATATAACACGTATATACAAACACATGCACATACTGAAACACATACACACATAATACACATACTCACCTAAACATACACATACACATACACGTGCGTATACACACATTATACAACTACATACATATGCACGTGTACATGCATGTTCATATACATACACATATGCATACACTACACATACACATACATATAAACCAACAAAGAGTCCATAGTCCTTTTTTTGTCTTTTCTCATCTGAGAAGGAGTCTCGCTTCACCAGCTAAAAATGGCCACTCTAATTATAATGCCAAACAGTCGCTTGACAGCAGCAGGTAGAAAATAAAAAGATAACTTTCTCAAACGGTTCAATTAGGCCTTGTAAAATGACCTAATGTGAGAATTGAATTAAACATTAAACGACACAAATGACAGTAGGTAAAATAAAGCATAATTCTGATAGATTTCATGTTACGTTCATCTGTCTTACAAGCATTACAGCAGTTGCACAAAGACTTGGCCAACAGAAAACGTACCAGCCTCAAAGACGATACGAAGATCATCTGTTTTGCTGTCATAAGGCTTGGAGAAATCCAAATCAATGTTGAAAGGTTGACCTCTCCTGACCACGAGCTTAGGTCTCCTTTGGTGTTGGCCACAGATGTCATACTCGTCAGTTCTGTGAGCCTTTGTGTTAGCCGGAACATTCAGGTCCACATTACGGACCGTCAGAATTTTGACTCGATCGGGCTCTGTGGGGAACAAGGTATCGTGTAGTTAGTTGCGTTTGTTTTTTCCGCGTCTCTATCGCCTTTGATGTTGTTGTAGACTCGCTTCATTAAGATGTTTTAGTTTTAGTTTCAGTTAGAGTTTTAAAGCCCTTGCAACAACAAAAATGTCATGTTAGTGTCAAAAATTTGATGTGTGACCAGAGAGTGATAGGCTTGTATAAAGAAAGAGACGAGAAGAGACAAGGACAATAGATGTTTGATTGGGAAGAAGAAGAAGAAGAAGACAAACCACGCCAGAGTGCTCACCAACAACTCATGCTTCAGGTCAAAGATGAACTAGACTAAAGGTGGGGTGTGTATGTGTTTACTTTTTGTTTGTTTGGGGTTTTTTTTGTTGGTTGATTGGTTAGTTGGCTGGTGGTCTGTTTTTATTTTGTTTTGTTTTGTTTTTTTGGGAGGTTGGGGTGAGGGGGGGGGGGTTGCATCCCTCCATCTCCGTTAGCATTCAGGCCAAACTTCCGAGTGATTGATGGGGTGGGAGAGGACATTAACAGGTGCCCAGAAACAAGCAAAAAACCAACCTCTTCTTTCATTTAGGTTCAAACTTCAATTTTCAGTACTTCACCCACATGCATCATGGTATGTCCTTAGTAACTACAGCTTGTGATAATATAGTTGTAATGTGATTACAAGTGACCTAGAAAAAAGCACTCGCGGCTGGAGCAATGTTTGTTCTTTTTCGTTGGAATCACATTACCCATTTCGAAAGCCGGTTGCAGACTGGGATTTTGGGTGTGGGTTTTGCCTTTTGTTTTGCCATGGAATCGACCAACAGACTGGGAGACATAGAGTTATCGGACATTATGAATATTCAGTTCTGAGGAAAATGACATTACTTCTCAGAGACGTAGTTTTTGGTAGCTGCAGTTCACAATAACCTCCTGGTAATTCTTTGGACATATTGTATACGCCATCAGAGAGGCTTAGAGACACGTGTGATTGGACACAAAGTGAAAGGAAAAAGAAGCAGGTGACGATACAGAATAGTATACGAACAGAAATTGAAATGAGTAGACAACCGGAAAAAGAGAAGGGTAAATTATTTATGCGAATTTCAAGCATAACGTGAAAGACCATGTTAAAAATTTGAGACTTCGAAACATGGAGGGAAAAAAACGAAAAGTAAAAGAAGTAGAATAGGGAGTATAGCATTGAGTGTAGGAAAGGAGGTCACATAATCAATTGTAGAGTATGGGCATGCTGTCTGGGATATTTGAGAGGCTGCTGTATAATGTGCAGGCTGAGTTATTTCGCGGAAAGTGTTGTAAAGTTATGGTATGTTGAGCACAAAATGGTGACGTGTCTGAATTATTGAAACATCAAACGAAAAGCTGTAAATAGGAACGTTACCCTTACTCAGTTATACCCCGTGAGTACCCGGCTATAGATAGCGACATAATATCTTGAAAGTTTGTTGGTGTCCGATGAGTTAACTGGCTGCTCGCACTGTATGTTTCCCAGGAAGCCGAGAACATTTCTGGTTGTCTTGGGGTTTGATATGGTGATAATGAAAAGCGTAAGGGGCATAGAGCTTGCTGTTGAGCGGGGATGAGTTCTGTACAAGTGTTAACATTCACATTAATTTGAATGGTTGGCTTTTGTGTTGAGGCTTATTTCAGCGTCAGATGTCATTACTACTTGATATAGGAGTCAACCCTTATGTTGTATTGCAATTAACCAACCATTCAATTCTCCATAAACCAGTTTGAATTTGAAAAAAGACTAACAAATCGACTCGGTAACAATCATTAAGGACATATGAAAACCAAGACAGGCGGACAGAAACAACAGCGGAAGAAAAAACCCCCCAGAACCTACCAATGGCGTCCTCCAAACAACCACTCAAAACAAATGTAGGGATGGGCGGGAAACAATCCCAAACAAATGACCGTAAAACAAATCCCTGTTAATGGATAGCGCTTTTCAATTAGTTTTATTTCAACACAAGGCCGATTGGCAAGAGGCGGGTGTTTTATTGCAGAAAGGTTCGAGAAGCAACATTTAACTACAGGAAAAGCGAAGAAGACGAAGAAGAAGAAGAAGAAGAAGAAGAAGAAGAAGAAGAAGAAGAAGAAGAAGA